CCAGTGTTCTGCTGAGCACAGTCATCCTCACAAGCAGGCACCTTGCTCTTCATCCTCCCCATTTTCAGTTTCCATCATCTCTTCCATTTCCTCATTATCATAGTTGTAGTTTGGGTCAAAGGTGATGTACTTCAAACATAACCCCATCACATTAGGGATGTGAGGGTCAATTTCCTTTGGACACCTATCACGACAAATAAAAATCCTAAGAGTTAATAAATTAAAGACTAAGCAATTTTAAATATCCAAATAACACAATTCATTTCAAAAGGATCCCCAAATGCTTCACAGACTATATGAACATTTTGTTAACATGAGTTAAACCAGAGCCGCTCCTTCCTGCTGTGCACAAAGCAAGACCACATTCCCCTGGGAAGAATGCAATGATTTCTGTAAGGTAAAAAAATAAATTGCCTTCACCACCTGGTTGAATCCTCCCTTCATGGGAGAAAACCTCAGCAGCTCTGCTGGGCTCCTTTTCCAAGACAAGCAGAAAACATTTCACCAAACAACGGGAGAGCTGCAGCTCAGCAGCTCTTCTGCCTGAGGCCCCTTCCTGCCTCCCACTCCCTCCACACACCAGGAGTGAGGCAGTTCCCTTTTGCTGAGGAATCCTCCAAGGACAAGAGTTACACTCCTGCAAAACCAATACAGAAACACACTCTCACATGTTGAGGTAAAATAGCTCATAACTCAAGCCCAACTCTGCATGTAAAGAAGGGATTTCATTTGTGAACTGTCTTTCCCAACAGGAATGCATATAGGAAGGTACTCAATCCTAGATGCTGACTGTATAGATATTCACACTAGGAGGACACTGATGCACAGGATGGTGCACAGTTGTTCCTCAAGGGCACACACCTTCTCACAAAAGACTCGAAGGCCTGAAAGCAGTACTCTCTCAGCTCGTCATCTTCCACGTTACAGTACTGAACAATCAGAGGAATTATCTTCTCCAGATGTTCTCCTGGGAAAGACAAAGTAAGCAGCAGTGAAAAATCATTCCAGCCTTCACTCATCCGAGCAGCTAACAGTTCAGCCATGTGCCACTTCCTTCACGTGCCTGGCAGAGCATTCCTCCCCTGGACCTCCCAGTCCAGCCTTGCAGGGGTTTTAAGCAGATGACCCCTGCTCCCTGTCGTCAGCCCCTTGCTGGCATTTCAGTCACAGAAAGAGCTGTGATTAGAAATCTTCTAGGACCTCATCTCAGCTCTGGCAGATCTTTTAGACGAGTAATACAATATGCTGTCCTCCATTTCTTCTCTCATTTAAAATGGGGTAAATCTACTGACCTAATTCACAGAGGTGTTAATTCAGACCAGGGAAGCACTGCAAGACCTTGAGATGAAATCACTACAGGAGGGCAGCCAGACTCACTCTGGTGTCTCTTCCCTTCCAAGTGGAGATCAGAGAGCCAGTTCAGGACCACAGAGGGAATCACAAAGCACAAGCCACTAATACCTTAGGAACAGAGTGAGCACACTTCTTTTACCACTAAAAGGAACTGCTCTAAAATGCATGCACGTTTCCCAGTGTCATTTCAAGCTACTTGTCCTACCTATGCGGTGTCCAGCCTGCCTACTGATGCCAGCGACACATTGAATGTACGTCCTGGTAGTAGAAGTAGACTCATTCCTCTTCAGCTCAGCAAGCAGATGCTCTGTGAGCTCTGAGAAGATGTTTCCGCTGCAGGTCAAGACAAGATGACCCAAGGCAATGATGGCCCTTTTACGTACTGCCAGCCTGGGGCTTGTCAGCTGGGGAAGGAGGCAGTTCAGAATGGAGGAATGGAAAGAGTAGAGTGTTCCCCCTAGTCTGCAATCAACAGCACAAGACAGAAGTTGAAAGTCAAAGCCTCAGAGAAAAAGCCCTCTTGCCAGCAAAAAATGTAAAAATCCTTCAGCTATGAAGACTTCAAGCATGTTGTGGGGAGAGAGAGGAAAAGGGTGGGTTTGGCATTTTGGTCTGAACACTGACTTGTTCTGTATAACACAAGGAAAGGTTATTTGTCTCCATCATGGAGGAGTTTGATTTTGACGGTGTCCTTCTGGATGACCTGTGAGTTTGTCAGCAATTTCCTGCAGGCAGTTGACATATGACACTGTCACTCTGACTTATGTAACAAGAGAAAGAGGCAGCCAGGAAAAAAAATGCATGTCTGATCAGATCACAGGGCTAAAATAAACTTCCCTGCTTTGCCCTCTCCCTCTCTACATTTGTTTGAGCTGAGCCTCTGTGGGATCCATCGCCAATGTTACTGCCATTCCCAAGCACAGAAGGGCTCAGCATGTCGTCTCTCATCTCTGCTGGGGAATCTGCTCTGCTGAGATATTCCCCAGTGGCAGCCAACCCAAATCCTGTATTTTTAAGTCCTCGTAGTAGGAATAGGGAAATACAGAAATCAAAAGCAAACACATACATGCGACCCCCTGCCGTACACAGCTGCCAGAAGGAAATCCTTTGGTACCTGCTCAGCATATCTGACAGGATGTCAAGAGCCTCCAGCTGCACAGATACGTCCTCCTGCTTGCCAATAGCTCCTGTCAGCTGGGCTGTGATCTTTTTGCACACATTTGCTGTCACAGTGGAGCCTGCAAAAGAGATTTTTCCTCACTGTCAGTTAAAAAGAAGTCTTTTTACTGCTAAGAACCATTTAATCCCTCCTACATTAAAAAAAAATCACCACTGGGAGACCTAACCAGAATAGCAGTCAACTAGCTTTTGTTTGAGATGGTGGATACACACTGCAAACAGCGAGGTATCTCCCTCTGCAGTATGATGCATTAACTATTTGGAAGAAGCTTCTCTTCTTGGAGAATGTCTTCTACCCTAAAACGGCCTGGCTGTCTCACAGCCCATGCAATGCAGGGAGCAGAAATGGGTGGGAAAGTTCTGGCATGGTTTTTTCCCTGTTTTTAACTTGAAAATGTTCAGTTTCAACACATCGAGATTTTCTCCATAGGAAGAGCAGTCTTGACAGAAACCGTTTCTCAGCTCCATGATGAAATTTAAGGGTAGAACTAGATAAAACTGTCACAAAATAATATATAACTCAGGTTCAAGAACGTGTTGAGATTACAACCACAGTCTAGAATCATAATCTCCTACAGTCCAGATCAATGTCTAGATACAAGTTTAGTCTTCATGCTGGGGTGTGCCTGTTCCAACACCAATTTTTATTGTGGGTTTTTTCCCAGTTGGTTCAGTGCAAAGCATAAGCAGCTTCGAATTCCACAAAATTTTCAAAGGAAGGGACAATAGCCTCCCACGCCATTCTGAACAGCCTCCGCGATGCAACAGAGACAAAGCAGAAGTGGAACATCCTTGGAGCATCATTAACTGCTGTACAACACTGAGAAAGGAGCCTGCCTCAGGCACACGCTATTTCTTGGACTATTATTTCAAACCTTCCCTTTGCTCCAGACAACACCACAACAACAGCAACCACACTGTTGGGGCTTAGGGTGAAGAAGGCACAGGGGGTAGATGTCCAAAGTCTCCATTTTGCAGCAAACCCACACTGCTTTTGCTGCCTTCTACCCCACAGTGTCAATCCCAACCCTTAAGGAGATGACTTATGTGTTGCTACCCTAAAACAGTTTCAGTTCATGTGATGTATGTTAAATGAAGAATTCTGAAAGGATGGCTCACAAGAGCTTAACATTTTGCAGAAATGGAGAGAGGAGTTCAGAAAATATTCGCATGCTAATTCTAGTTCTCCCAACCTAAAATCCAGCAGCCTGGCAGCACTGCCACGGCCACCCGCCATGAAGGAACAAGAGATACATCAGATGGCTGCAGAGGAAACTTAAATCTCTGGGAGCCTCAGGTATCTCCTGAATAGTTGCTGCATTTTTGGGATACGTAGTTCCAAATGCAGGAAAAGCAGCCAGGGTAGCTGTGGCAGTTGGAGGACTTGGCCCAGCTGAGACTCATTTCATCCCTTCTTTAATCACATTGGTGTTTCAACTTCTACTGTCTCTCCTCCTTATTTCATTGCTTGTTAACCTCTAGCAGGTGAATAAGGAATCTGTAAGTTTTAGGCCCTGAACTACATGTTTTCCTCTGTTTCCCAAAGGCTGTGACTCCCTATTGCCTCAGTCTGACAAACAGGGACAGACGTTTTACCTGTAGAAGCTGGTGGCAGCTCAGAGATGACTGTTTTCAGTCCAATGCTGGAGATATCCCGCAGCTGTTCCTTGTCGGATAACATGTTTGTACACAGCGTATCCACAATAGTTTCCACCTGGTACTCCTTCACTTTGCCAACCAGTGGGCCCAAACTGCGGGAGGAGAAGCCAGTCAGAATGAAGAGGAAGAGGGATGCTTTCCACCATCAAAAGGGATGCTCAGGCTCACTCCTCCGTAAAGGCAGCTCAGCCCCAAGTGCAAATACTACCAAAACATCGGTATCGAGTACTGATATCCTGCAGCACGTCATGTCCCTAGGTTTACATACCCTGCATTGTTGCCTCAGTTAATTCTATATCAGACTTCAGTGAATTTTATATCATATTTGCAGGAGGACATTTCACATCAACTACTGCAAACATGAGGCCAGTTAATATCTTACTGGAAGGAGCAGCTCAGAAATTATGACACAATGAATTTGAACCAAAGCAAACATGTTACACAGAGTAATGGTAAAATCTATAGTCAGGTTTTGGAAAAAAAACAAAAACAAACCAACCATCAAAAACTGACTTTCAGGAGGAAATGCCAAATGGATTTTCACAAACAATTAGCTATCCATTGCCCTCTGCTGTATGTGGGGAAACTTCTACCTGAGCCAAGGCTCAGAATTACTACAGAGGGAAGACCGCTCCCTTTCCCCTGCACTTTTTTTTAATTATTATTATTAGAAAAACTTTCTGTTAATAACCTATATTTCCTGCTGGTAAGTTAGTATTCAAAATTGTGCATAGAGTGTTTGTCAGCATTGTTTGCAACTATTTATTTTTGCATCTTTACAAGGTAACTAGCTAAAATGTAAAGTATTAACTGTATTTCAGCAAGTCATGTTACAGCTTTCCCTCCCTAACCAGCTACATTTAACTCTTCGAATTAAGCTAATGAATTCAAAATGCATTTGTTTCCCATGAATATTCTGTATCCCGTACTAAGAAATTGCTGTTTCATAGACAGCAAATCTGGTTGCTAGAATTTTCATGAGAAGCAAACACAGATGAGTGAAAACATGGAAAATTCCATCTTCTTGTTTTAGTGAACATCCACAGAAAATACTTTGAGCCCAATTTCAGTCCTAACAACACATCACTCTTCTACAGGTTGAGTGAGCTTGTCCACAGCCCCATGACCCACCAGTGGCAGAGATCCATGCCCAAGCCCCCATGGTTATGCCACCCCTCCTCTCGCACTGAATGGTCTGCCCAGGTAAAGAACTGGGGCCCTAGCTTGCAGATTATTCGTGCAGGCAATTCTTCGTGCCCAAATCTAGAAATTAGTTTGGAAGGATTTGGGCCTGAAGAGAGATGCTATAGGTATTTTTCTCTTTCCCATGAGTTGATACTACCTTGCAGAGAAGCAGCTACTTGTCGTAGCAGTGATGTGGCTGCACTCCGACTTCTGTGCCAGGTACAAAATGTTAGTCATTGCTCCCTTGTTCCCCTTCTTGTGGGGACTAGTCAAAACTGAATGATTTGAACTGAATAATATAGATCTTTTCCTTTGGGTTCAAAAAACATAGGAGAACTGAACAGCTCCCTGTGATTCATGTGCAGCACAACCATTTTTTTAAACAGGGTTCTAGAGTTTTAAAAGTATCATCATGCTGCTGTTCCAGAGCAAAAATGTATTTAAATAACCAGTTCCTGAGGGTCTCCCCTCTCTTCCCCTTCACATAGCCAAGTGAAAACAGAAAATAGAGTGAAGGAAAGGACTAATCTACCTCTTCAGAGTTTTGTTTTTTCTTTTTTTTACCTGTTATACAGAAAAGAGGAACTAGAGATTTTGGCTCTGTATGCTGCATAATACTAGGGCATAGCCACTGATCCCTGGGGACTATCATTAATGCTACATGTCCATACAGCTCAGAAGAAAAGGCTACCAGTTGCCTATAGAGTACAAGAAGAGACAGAGAGACTTGTAGGGTTTTAAACATACCCTTCTTTCACAGAAGCTTACACACAGGAGAGGTTCTGCTCCCGACAGTCAGTGGTAAAAGTCCCTGTCTTCAGTGGGAGCTGAACAGGACTATCAAAACACTGGCCTTGATGATTTACATTTTCTTAAGAGCTTGTATGAGAAGACATGGTGCTAGCACTCTACAATGTTTATTGCTGGACACGCTTTATAAAATCCTTGCACAAAAATGCATTTTCTGTCTTCTTTTTCTCTCTTCCTTTTGGCATAGCTCCAGTAATGCCAACTGTATGGAACACCTCTGCACAGGTAGTTGTCTCCCTGCTGGCACACACAGTTACCTCTGACAGCATGCTTAACAAACACTGTATGCGCAGTATTCCCCAGAGTACGCAAAGCAAACTCACACGCAGCCTGTTCGGTATAAGACTATTCCTAAATTCAACAACTGGGACAATAATAGCTGTTCAGAGTCTGAGTAGCTACTCTGAAATACATGAATTAGAAAAGAAACACTAAATAATAAGACTTTGTGCAAGTCCAAGTGGTGTTCAATCTTACACCTCAACATGCAGAAAAGAACCGATGGCTATCCCTACTTTAAAGGCAGGAACATTGAGGCACAGAAAAGCTAAGGAACTCATCTAAATTGAGAAAAAAAAAAAAATCACAGAACCAGAAACACGGCAAGTTTTTATATGGATAAATTTGTGAGTTTTTTGGGTGTGAAGTGTCATTTTAGCACTCCTCTGAAGAAATAAGATCATAGGTTTAGATGATAAAATCAACTGCAAGACCTCTCCGTAGTTTCCTAACTTCCTCCTGAGTCCTGATGTGGGCTGCACAGATCCACACTTGGGCCTAATCCAACTGCCAACGTCCCTCAAACCGTCACATTTCTCCTTCTTAGAGATCCTTGCACTTGGCTGGGAATAACTGACTGGACATTAACTATTATAAGTGCCTCCTTAAGTATAAAAAGGAAATATTACTGGTTCCATTTTCAGGCCTTCTTATGATCGCGTTCTGGACGAATTGGAGATTGTAATGAGTATGGACTTGTTGCTAATGCAACCATAGATAAACAGGCAAAGAAATTTGTACTCTGTTCAGTGCCCAACCATTTTGCTTTAAAAAACAGAATAAACAAACCCAAAGCAGGCAGAGACAGGAACAGGGCCAGAAAAAGTCAGACAGTGGGAATCAGAAAGGGCCAAAGGTCACAGGGAAAGTACAGGGATAGAAGCATTATATGGTTAAAAAGAAGGGAATATGAGTAAGAGCCACAGTAGGAAGAAATTCAGGAACCCACAATCGTCTTTAAATGGCCCATCTTTCTGGAGCCCTGTGCGTGAACTGACCCATTCAATTTCATTTCTAGAATGAATACTCCCATTTAGACATGCTGGGGGAAAGAGACAGGAAAGAACATGTCAGCAGTAGGATCACTTCATGAGATGATTCAGTAATAAAGGAACCTTCTGCCTTTTTCACTTGGGTTAAAAAAAATATTGAAATTGTCAAAGGCAAAGCAATAGCACAGGCTACACTTGGAGTCAAAGCAGGGAAAAAAAACCAAGTGCATTATAAACTTTAATGAAAATGCCCTTGAAGAGTAGGATTTGGACCTGAAATTCAAATGCTATTTTTGAAGGGCTATACATGTTTAGTACCATCTCTATCAAAGACAGGACCACTGGGAAATTCAGCACTGGATTTCAAAGCCCAAGAAAGGAGAGGAACTTGATGGCCAGGTTTTAAACTAGGTTTCCCTCTGAAGAAATAAAATCTTAGACATGCTACTTTTAATATGGCAAGATTCATCATATAAACACTGAAAAACTTCCAAAGTCAACTATTACTTCCTACAAAGATATCTGTATGCTCACCCTTTCTGAATATCAACAGAGAAGGAAACTGCTGTGCCCGGCATGAGAGGGAAAGCCCCTACAAAGGGAAGTTTGAGTAAGGTACCAACGCTGCAGGGCCAAGCTCCACTCTAACGCACTCTCTGCAGTCTTTGACAGCTTTATTATTGCCAAGGAATATGGTAATTACTGCCGAGGCTCTTACCACTTGACAGCGAGGTTCTGTACCTCCCCATTTTTGTCCTCCAGCAATTTCAAAAGCATTTTCACAACTTTTTTCTCGCTGTCTTCATCTAGTTTTATCGAATCTTTCTGCAGTTCCACCATCAGGTCATTGGTGGCCATAAACCTGAAAGAACATATAGCAAAAGTGGGTTGGCTGAAATACAGACACAAATGCATTTCCTTCGCATCACTTTGGTCAACAAAACTTGACAATTAGTGCTTGTATGAAAACATACTTTCAAAGAGTAACTTGCAACCCTTTACACTGTCCTGAAAAACAAGTTACAAAGAATTATTACTGTCTTACAAGTGGAAAACTCAGATAGAGGTAGCTGGTGAAAAGGCTTTAGCTAAGGAATCTGAGAAAACGAGAAATATACGTTCTCTCCTCTCCTTAAAATACATAACAGGGGTAAACTAAAACTCTAAAATTGGCACCCAGCTTGTATATTTTTTCTCAGTGACTAAATCAAGATGGTTAACTATGCTAGAAAAAATCATGGTGGTGTTTTTCACCAATTGGCAGGCCTAGGAAAACCAGTCTAGGGTCTAAGAATGCACCTGGCTGTGTTCTTTCTGGCTTATTTAGCACTGATATTATGATCCCACACATGGAGAAGGGGATCAAGCTATCAAGCTCAAAAATGAAAAATAAAGTCATGAATCCATGCAAACTACACCTTAGACGTTCCCTAGGCTATATTTAGACTGCTGTTTTTCAGCCCAGCCAGAGTTTGTTTATATCCTTCTGCTCCTGGGAGCCTTTACTAATCCAAACAGTTGTGTCATCCATACATTCAACCTCCTTCCTTGCTTAATGCCCTCTCAAAGTTTTGGGTTGGTTTTTTTTCTGTTCTAGAGAAAAGATACTAAACATCTTGCTACACCAAGGCATTGCTGGTGATGGATGCAATGCTGTCAATGGTGTGCAAGATATTTTTATCACTTGGGTACAAAACAAATCACAGATCCTGCACCTGTGCCACAGCTTCCATTGCTGAAAAGACCTCTACAAAAGCTACTTTTTTCCAGGACATGGGAAACCTTGACCACCCCAGTTCCTCCTCCTGATTCTCTGGTGTCCCTTTAGTAAGAAGCACTTGTCTGCTCTTCAATCCTTACCCACTGTCCAATTAACTATACTCACATTTCATTAACAACGTAAGATAATATTTGGCATGAAGGAACATTTCCTATTGCACTTTTTTCCTCCCATGAGCAAAACCAAGCAAGTATTTATCACTGCAGCTTAGAAGGAAAAACAAACTCCCAGCTGACTGTTAGTCAGTATAATTTTCTAACACAGACAATGTCAAAATGGATATTGAGAAGTTCTGGAAAGTATCTATTTTCCTGGGAGCCTGAAATGTAAAAGGTGCTAGTATAGAAGCCTGAGGTTCTGAGAAATGTAAGCGTGGTTATCGTATATTAGTTCCTTTCTAATGTTAGCCCCAGCACAGGGATGGACGTCTAAACGGAACCACAGAGAAGCTCTTCCCTCTCATTTACCAAATGACACCTCCATTTTAAATTAGGCTCTGATGTAATTCATTCAGCATGTAAGAGCCCTAATGTACCAGGGCAACATTTGTGTCTTCAATCTGCAGGCCTGCTCTTGAGCAGCAATTAGGTACATCTGGAACGAGGGACTGCTGTGGTGTTAGACAGCCAGCCCGAAATCCAAAATGACAAAAATAGAGGGACTCTGACCTATAATGTTAACAATATGCAACCTATTTTTGATTCTGCAAGAGCTAATAAGCTGCACTTGCAGTTCAATGTCTGTGTAGAACAAGCATGACCAATTATGGCCACAGGCTGAGCAGTGTCTTCCACAGCAGCACATCCAGTTTTTGACTCGCTACCTGCTGCTGTCCTGCCCACAGGACCTCGGAAACTGGCACACGGATCCAGAGGGAAGCATGTGAAACCTGGTCCTATAACTGGTCGTGCAACTGAAGACAGACAACAGGCTCACGTTAGACCATGTGCTGGGAAGAAATGGCCCTGGAATATCTCTATAACATGACACAGGCCCTGCGCTGGGCAAGTCTTGTTTGGAGTATTAACCATAAATTCTTTGAACAAACTGTTTGTGCAACTACTCCATCACTGACTTCTTTAAAAAGTACCTATTTTAACATCAGAAAAACATCAGCAGCCTCTGCAAAAATCAACCTACTTTTAGGATATTACTAACCCCTCTCTTCTAAAAGACCTCAAAATACCAAGTCTGCCACAAACATCACCTTCCAGTTTGATACTGAGAGAACAATAGCTCATGGGTGAAATCTTTCATACTTGTTAGTTTCAACAATATTTATAGAGCAACTTAAACATCAAGCCACCAGCCCCAACCCTAAAAAGATGTCAATTTTTTCTGCTGACATAAACAAAGAGAATAAAAGAATCTTTCAGTCCTATTAGGGAGGTGTATTTTCCCACTGCATAGAAATAGTTCTTAAAGCAATCTAAGCACAGGCAGTATCTGCAGCGTCCATCACCCGGATGACACGGCTGCTCAGACTGGTGTCTCTCAGCCTTTTTAATGCATTGACAATCTAACCTTCTAGCGGAAAAACAAACAAAGAAGTATTTCAGCATTTTTGCAAAATTCATTTGCAAAACAAATAAGAATTTAAAGTCTAGCTGTTAAGACTTTTATTCCTCCTTCGACTTTGCTTGCTCTTCACTTCCATTATGCAGCAATCTAGGCGAGGGAGGGGAACGTTGCTGGTTTCTCTACATTCCCCCCTGGGCCAGAAGAACACAGTTGGCTTGAAATACTGTAAATAAAAAGGATTAATTCCTCTGATATGGAAACATCCTCCACACGGTGCCAGCAGGATCGGGGGCACCGTGCCTGCTCCTGACGCAGAGGGTCCCCCCAGTGCAAGGGGATCCCGTGGGAAGGGACCCCCCCCACTGGGAAGCCCCCCGCCCGTGCAGTCCCCCCAGGGC